GATTCGTACATGATACAAGCATGTGAAAGGCTGACCAAATGACTACCGCCACCATAGACGAAATGTTTCTGGGTGAGATACGCTACGAAGGGACTTTTCTGTAACCCAGAAATATGCCTACGCATTTTTTCCTGCTCCCTGACTATTATATTTATCATGCATTCAGAGCCTACATGCAATGAGACACTCAAGTTTATAGTGATAGCAGTGGAGGAAAATTAGGTTTTAATTGAAGTATAATCACTTTCTGATAGATTATGAAATATAAGTACCGAACCAATGACTAATCTTCATTAAATTCAATAGTTATTGCTTTTTACAGATTAGTCACTCCATCTAAATACCGGGAAAGTTTAAATTTGGTTAGAATTTCGTACAGAAGGCTAGTTCGCCGGTTTGTTTGTCGGAAATAGTCGTTGTTGATGATTTTTTCCTTTTCAAAATATTTGATAAATATTATACCATGCGCATCCCAAAATATTGATACTATAATGGAGCCATGTTTCATCCATTGCCACATATTGGCGCATAAATTCTGTTTTATATAGTGCCGAGTCCGAATAATGTTTATCAAGCCAAGCCTTAGCTTCTAACAAATCGGCGCCAATTTGTTGAAGTGAACAACGTAAAGTGAGACCTCAAAAAAATGAAGCATGGTGTTCCTCAGGGATCCGTTATAGGTCCACTATTGTTCTTGATCTACATCAATGACCTATGCAGTCTCAGGAAACCAGCAGGATGTATCTTGTTTGCAGATGATACAACTTCAATGTGCTGCAGTAAAGACTTAACTAGCTTACAATTAATAATGGAAGATAACAAAACATTAGCTTACAATTGGTTTGCTGCCAACAAACTTACCTTGAATAAAGATAAAACTCAAAATATAACCGTATCTTCCAATCGCAATATTCCCCAATCCAAAGGATTCACTAGTGATCATAGATTGAGCTGGTCTGATCATATTAAAGCTATGTTTCTACTACTACGGATTATTTCACTCAGTTATTTCTTATGGTATTCTCATTTGGGGTCATACAAGTAACTCGATGAGTGGGTTTAGGTGCCAGAAAAAGGCCATAAGAATTCTACCTGAAGCAGGTTACAAAGATCATTGTTGTCCTCTTTTTATTCAACTCAGCATTATGCCACTTCCAACACTGTATGTCTCTCCATGAAAATGTTGACAAATTTGAAAAACATGGTGAAAATCATGCATATGAAACGAGGTCTGCAAGTTTGTTGAACCTGTCTAGACATAATCTGACTATCAGTCAAAGAAATTCACTGAACCTCAATCTTTATAATCATCTTCATTCATTTGTGAAGTCACTCAACCTCACTAAATTCCAATTTATTATCAAAAGCTTTCTCCTCCAACACTGTTTCTATAATACAGAGGAATATAAAATGGCGAGATCTTTAACTTACGAAAGGCCTCATTAAGTCAACATACCTAAATTTTGATTTTTGCGACATATTTCAAAGATTTTATATCTATGGTTTTATTTATACTTATATTCTTTACTTATATTCCATAGTAGACGAATTTTATCTCTGATCAAGGATTTCTGTATTTGTGACTTGCCATAAATGTACTTACTGTATGTAAAATGGTCAAATAAAGTACTCTAGTCTTATATTTTTCTCAAGAAGCAATGTTTCATAAAAACACGAAATTCCTTTTTATCCGTTTTATTCGAACTAACAAAAGTTGCTCCACTCACAATGTTCTATACACAAACTAATAATCCGAAAGCTGTGGCATTTATTCACGCTTCTTATGAAGGTTATGGTTAACTAAAAATTATATGGATTTAATAGTAGTAGCCCCTAATAAGCTACCGTCAGCGGTGCAATATATCTGATTTGTCATCTTTCCAAAAAGTCGCTGAATACTAGAAAACGAACGGTCTCTAATATCCTCCTTGGGGTTCACAAACTCCTGGCGCCCAATGGGGAATGTTCCTCCTGACGAAAATCAAGTAGTTTTCATAGAAGAGCTCTAAAATAACGCATTTTAAACTTATCATTTCAACCTTTTTCTTTAAAAAATTATTTAAATACTTAAAAACATATGACATATGACATTTTGTGCACCTAAACTATCTTCCTCTATATAAATAAATAACAAAACAACTGTTGTTTATTAATACAGGCGCTGTTGCCAATGTGTGAATTAGAAACAAATCCCTTTAAAAATTAAAACCCAACATTTGAAACATCAATTTGAAAACTTTTCGAAGTGAATTTGAAAAACTCATGAATTAAACTCAACTTTATTTTGTTCAATCTTGCATTTGCTGTAATAACCCAAATTGAGGAACATTCCCCATTGTTCGAGTTGAATGACTTCTCAACGAGATAGTTTCAAAATTATATGAATTAGATACACTTTCGAAAATCCTTCGCCAAATTGGAACACCGCTTCTTAAAACCGAAAAAAGAGCGTAAAAACAAACAAAACCAACGCATTGACGCACGAACCTGTGCAAATAATTGCCTATCTCGAGAACCAGTCGAACGCAATGACGTCATCGTTGGCCCATTTCAAGTTTTTACCTGTCGTTAGCGAATGCAGAAACATCAAGCGAGCAAGAATTGAAACTAAGAGAGAAAGGTGAAGTTGCAATCGTCTGAGCTGCAAATAGGCGATTCGGTACCACCCATTTTGCATTGGCGTGCCGAAAATATGTCTCATTTTAACCGCTTGATTGGTGAGTTCCACTCGTGAAATCCCCGAAATGTTGGGCGCAGAATCGATCCCTGCTGTGGGACTCGCTGAGTGTTCCTATGACCTCTCTGTAAGCGAGTGTGTCAGTGGTAGGCTCAGAGGGCGTCTAACTCGTTAGGAATCGCACGTTAAGAGTGAGACCTCGTTAAACATTGTATTGTCTGTGTGACCTCAGAAGGGATATACTCTTTTCCCAACCTACTGAAAAACGCAAAGAACCTGCATTGTTTTCCTGGAGACTTGGTAGAAATGTAAAATCCAGTTGCTTCCAACTAGCAAAAAACTACAGTAATTCCAAAAGTAAAATTATGCAATCCCATGTGGGAAAGACCAACTCCTACCTCAAGGACTCGACAGACTTCGTTGGTAAAATTAGGGGCTTAACGCTGGAGCCGACGGATATTCTGGTCGGCTTCGATGTGGTGTCTTTGTTTACCAATGTCCCACTGGAAGACTCTCTGAGGGGGTTAGCCCACGTGTTCCCGAATGACGTCGTCGAACTCTTTAGAGCATGTCTCACAGGAAGTTACTTTCAATTGGCGGGAAACTTATATGAGCAACTAGATGGCGTTGCGATGGGGAGTCGACTTAGCCCAGTTATAGCAAATTATTTCATGGAACGGTTTGAAGGGAAGGCGATAGACACTTTTGAATTGAAGCCTACCTTGTGGCTACCTTACGTGGAACTGAACCGTTTCCTAAACCACTTGAACGCCCAACACCCGAGCATAGAATTCACCATGAAGATTGAGCAAGATCAACGGATAGCTTTCCTAGATGTACTAGAATATGTGAACCAGAACATCTGGAGAGGGAACTGAAATACCTTGAAGTGACCTTGAGATCGAATGGATACAGTGCTTCTGAGACCAGAAAAGCCATGAAACCGAAGGGCACCACGGTTCAGAAAGCGAAAAACGATCAGATGGTTGCACGCGCATATCCACCATTTATTCCTAGGGTTACGGACAGAATTGGAAAACTATTAGGCAAACACGACATCGAAACAGTCTTCAAATCCACGAGGAAGATACGACAAAGCCTCAGGTCGAATAAAAACAAAAGAGACCCATTATCAGCAGCGGGGGTCTATCGCATACCGTGCACTTGTGGAAAGGTATATATCGGAACCACCAAACGATCCTTGGGAACAAGACTAAAAGAGCATGAAAAGAATTGCAGACTAGGCCAAACGGACAAGTCAGCTGTGGCAGAACACGCACTTAGTGAAGGAGACCACGTAATTTTCTTTGAAAACACAGAACTAATTGCCCCCAACCAGGGATACCATAGCCGACTGGTACGGGAGGCAATAGAGATCCACAAACACATGGAGAATTTCAACAGAAAATACGAAGCGGTGAACCTCAATCGAATATGGAATACGCCATTTTAAGGAATTCTAGAATAACGAACAGGACAACAGACAGCAAGATTGTTAATGTTCCAAGTTCAAGTGTAGGTACGAGTACAGGTACAAGTGTAGGTACAAGTACAGGTACAAGTACAGGTATAAGTACAGGTACAAGTACAGGTACAAATACAACTGATTACCTGACAAGGCATAAATATGCATTACGAAGCCTAAAAGGTAGTCATCGGACAGCAAGCCATGATGGTTAAACCTCTGAAAAAGCTAGCCACTCACGCCAGCGAAACGTCAGGAAGAAATTCCAAAAATCCACGGCTTTCAAACTCGAAAAGCAATGACACTATAATTTTAGCTGCTTGTATTTACGAATATTTTACCGTAGCGACTGAACTATTTACTTGATTCTAATGAAAGCACACCACAACAAGTCATCTCTTTAGGTGATACTAACTTGATTAGCGAAAAGCGTGCCAAGTGGCACTGGTTTCGTTCGAGCTCGAGATAGATGGAAAATAATCAACTACGGGAGGTACCGTTCATCTGCTACGGATAACGAAGACATTATTCTACCAGATTGCTTAAATAATTATGTCGTAACTGTTGCAACGGCATTGATGCATCCAGTATCTTAAATTCGTGCCAGTTCAAAGCAACTATTTTTTCTGGAACCTGTAACGGTGGCTCCATTTGAGAGTGCAAAATTTTCTTTGAGTCGTTCAAATAGCTGTGATGCTTGTGATATCAACAGCAAAATATTGAAATATTCCCTTGGAATTATACTGAATCCTTTTACAATCCGCTTCAACGAATATTTCTGTCAAGGTGTGTTTCCAACTGCCTAAACACCAAAAAAGTCCACGGCATTCAAACCCGAAAAATAGCGACACTGTAAACCTTGGCCCTCAAAGTCTTAACCATTTTGGATTCTCTTGAAATCATTCTGAATCCTTTTACAATCCTCATTAACGAATATTTTTTTCGAAGTGTATTTCCCAGTGCCTTCGGCGGGTTGGATGTCCTTGTTTATCTTTCACTGCCTGAACCACTGTGCATGCTGTTTTTGGCGAGTGCATTCGCCTGGGATGTGGGGGTTGAGCAAACCGGCCATCGGATGCCTGCTTCCACGTAGCCCAGCTGGATACGGGAATGACAGAATCACTTGTGGTTTTGTTATTCCTTAACTGAATGACAATCCTGAGGTGTGTGTATGAGGATGAATGACACTGAGCCTATCAGATGTCTCTACGGAACCTACGAGATACCGTCGTAGCATCGCCTTGTCACGCTAATGCGGGGCTGTGCCGTTATCGACCTTCTACTCGTGGGACTCCCTGTGAATTTAGATCAGGAGCGAGAACTTCTCAACTCTCCAACTCCTGATCCAATAACTGAACCTAAAAAAGGTTTAGTGGTGCAGCCAGGAAACGACTGAGTCGTGGTACCTTATGAAACCGCCTTGCACCAAATTCTTGAGCGGCGTACGCAGAATCTGTCCCAGGTGGAGGAACAAACCCCCCATGAGCAGGTTAGCAAACGTTTCGCTAAAGCGATGATTCGCCAAAACCAGAGGCGAAAAAGAACTACGGTTGAATCTAAGGCATCGTCAGGTGTAGCTGACGTGCAAAAATTCTCATATGGGAGAGTTGTCGCGGGTATCGAGGTGGGAATCTTGCAACTTGACTATCCTACTACCTATCGTTAAGAAGCTGGGTTTATTTGGTTGAGTGTGAATCGATGTGAGCCACAATAAACCCTTGCGGGTTGCGGTGGAGGGTCGAATAGACCCACTCACTTTGGATCTAACCTAACCCAGTGGCTTCAAATTATCTAACGTGGTGCCTATTTATAAAAAAAATGTTAAATGAGACCCTCAAAATTATCGCTAAAATACTCAACTTATCGTTAAAATACTGTTTGAGTGTTTATTTCGTACAGTTGGATCAACAGTTAACGCTGTCTCTAAAGATGTCGCTACGATCAGAAAAGGACTCGAAAAACATACAGCTTTAATTTTGTGTGACCTCATGAGAACTTTTGATTGTGTCACTCATGACCTATTCATCCAAAAATTGGAATTTTCACATTGAATAAATTTGTTTGCCACACTGTCCATGTGCAATAGTCCCGTTTAATTAAAAAATTGGTGATTTTGTTGTGCTTCTCAATGCTGAAATACCTAAATATGATATCCAGTGATTTGATTCATTTTAACGTGTGTGTTTTTTATCATGTCCGAGTTTAAATCTGTAATTCATCAAATAATTGATAAGGGGAGTTGGATAATGATTATTTCAAAAAATTTTTAGTTGGTTTTTGGATAGCTCTTGAATTATTGTTTGCAAAAATAATATTGACAATTAGATTCAGGGCCATGAAAAAATCAAAACAATTTACCTCCCCCCCCACACACACACAGCTTGCTAAGGGGTATCCTTTTCTCTCTGGGGGGCTGTAGCTCCCCCTTGCCTTTCATCCTAGTTACGCCAATGGATAATTTTTCAACCGATTGAAGTTAATTCGAGAACATTTGCATCGTACGCACAAAACTCGTTTCTTGTTTCTTCTGCGTCATCGTTCAGAGATTATCCACAACTTGTCGAATTTTTATTAGTTTGTTTCGTTGCTTTGTTTATATTCATGCGAAGGACGTCAGTGTTATGTAAAATTATCAAATCGGAATGTTGAGTTGGCATAAGATGAACACGGAACGATACGTTTTGAGTATTCAAGATGTTCACACAGTCTCGGGGAAAAACCGAAGATTAGACTTGTTTGTTGCCAGAACTAATCAGTGGCCGAAAACAAATCATTGGATCCAGCACCAGGTGGCGCTATTTCGACCTGGACCACTAATGCGTTGTTGATTTCAATTGTCCCTAAAGGGCAAGCCTGAGTATAAAAAGCTTGGACATCTACACTTACGAAGCCACCAGCTACGGGGTCAACGGAAAAGTCAAACCTTTCAAGCAGCATATGTATGTCATTTAAATATGAGGTTTAGCCCGGCAGAAGTAGATTTTTCTCAAGAATCATCCCGTAGCTGATATGTGAATAGAAAAAATCCATAATAAGTAGAGAGAAGAGTGTCAAAAGATACATATTTTTCTCAAATGCCTCAATAAATATAGATTGGATAGTTTCATATTTGATTCATCTATATATGACATGTCCAATTCAGGGAGTCATCCAAAGTTATACCAAGTAATTGGGTTGTAGTCTTCAATCGCGTTATTGGAAGAGAATATTAGCCTTGAGTTCAAGGAAATTAGCTCTGAACCATTTTTCATCTTGCCTTTCGGCAAGTTTTGAGATGTCCACTGAATTTTTGCAACTTTTGTCTGAAAAATAGATGTGTCATCGGCATAAACGACACATTCATGAGGCAGAACTCTGAAGAGAAGATCATTTATAAAAATTATGAATTGAATAAGAGAGGTCCTAGCACATATCCGTGCGGAACACCGTCAACTGTAGGCTGTAAATTAGACGTTCTGTTATCTCCTAGATCAACATATTGCTTTCGATGAACGAGAACATTTCGAGCATTTTCTCAAATGATTTCTTTATGTATAAAATAAATAATACCGAGGTTGAAGTAGAATGATTTACGACCCTGAAATTGATACTTATCAATTGCATAAAAACTTACTAATTTATTTCGCTTTCCAATGAACATTTACTTCTAAAAACTTGATATAGGGTGACGGGGATACGAAATTGCTAGTAATTTCTTTTTACAAAACTTTGATCCGATTCTTGCCCCGATTATTGAAAGGCAAAACTACTACTAAGCTGATATTTTGACAATCAGATCCAAGTTCGGCTCAACCTTGATTTTATTTGAGCATTCTGAAGTGCATATTGAATTATATTCAAGGTCTGGAGATTTCATTCATTTGTATCAAGAAAATATATATTTAGAATGGCAATTGCCTAGTTTAGGTCTCGGCGCACTCATATAGGTTAGGTTAGGTTAGGGGTTAGGTTAGGTTAGATCAGGTTTAGCAACTGTTTTAATTCCACTTTCAAATATTTGCAATATAATATTAATTTCAATATTGGTATTAATAATCAAATATAAGGTTAGGGGTTGGATTAGGTTAGGTTAGATTAGGTTTAGCAACTGTTTCAATTCAACTTTCAAATATTTTCACTAGTATTGGTAATTCATCTAAAAATAGAATTTTTAACAGGTGATGATCGACTGTATTGCTAAGCATGCGCCAAACTAACTGACTTTTATAAGAAAACAAGTATAGCTGAGGCACCAGTCAATCTAATAATAACACAGCTGATCTTCAAACATGACTCAACCTTTGACGGAAACACCAAACTTTTACTACGAAGGTTCCAAATAGATCAACACTTCAATCTACAAACCACTATAATAATCTTCATGCAGTCATTATTCACTGTGGTTCTCGAGTTGAATCTGGTTATTACGCCTTGGTCAAAGACGAAACGGACACTAAGTGTTCTGGCGATGTATTGAATTTATGGGAGCCTCTGAAGACACTCTACATGGCAGGTCATGATCTTCAGATGATGTGGTGCTGCAGGTTTTTCCAGCTTTTCCTGCAGCAGAAAAAGCAAATGCGCCACTGGAATCAATGAAGTCGCCCCGGGGCGCAAATTAATGTTTGTTGTTGTTTTATAATTTCATGATTTGTATTTTATCAAAAGTTATGTTAGTAAAAAAATTATTATTAGTGTTAATAATAAAGGTTAAGTTGGGGGTTCGGTTAGGTTAGGTTTTAGATCAGGTTTAGCAACTGTTTTAAATTTTCATTATAATATTGATTTTAATATCAGTAATAATAATTAAAGGTTAGGTTAGGGGTTGGGTTAGATTAGGTTAGATCAGGTTTAGCAACTGTTTTAATTCAACTTTGAAATATTTTCAATATAATATTGATTTTAATATCAGTATTAATAATAATTAAAGGTTAGGTTAGGTGTTGGGTTATGTTTCAATTGATCTATTAAACATTCTCATTTATATGAGCCGGGACCTAAATTAAGCAATCCATTTTTAAATTATATTCGAAACTTTCTCGGTTTCCTTCACAGCAGGCTCTGGCCAATGCCAGCCGGCTATTACCCAGAAAAGTGGTTGTTTCCGTAAAGAATATTGCCCAGAGACTGATGCAAGATTCTACCAACAAGTAACCCTCAAACTCTACCCCACTCACCTTCTGCTAGCTTTACTCTTCGTCGGAGTGATCTCGGCCACGGTCTTGGACTTCTTCTCCAGACACGAATGTATCTTCGGCCTGGGGCGCGTTTGCGCATCCTGCAATGCCGTTTCCAGCTTCAGTTGCAGCTTCTCGTCGCGCTGCATGCGCACGTTGAACTTTCTGCAGGAAAGTACGGCCACTCTCCTACGGCTAGCCGTATTCCTGAGACCGTCGCCTTCCCCTTCTGTATTGATTCTGGGCGTAGAGAACTCTTCGGTGCTGCTATTCATTTCTCGTGTGAGTCTAATCGGTTTAGAGAAACGTCAATGTCAAGTGGTAATTGGCATTCTTCGATAAATTTGACTGTCGTAGTACAGTTACTGAAGACTCGCGTTCTACAGAGTTTCACAATGAGTGACAAGAGAGTTTTCTCCACTTGATCAATTTACACAACTTTCTATCAATCCGCAGGATGGCTTTCATGGGCTTTGACAACATCGTCATCGAACAACTCTGAAGGCGCGTATATATTTATAGAAATTAGATTTCTTTAGTTTTGAATTTGGCGCGCTTCGCGTGCTGGTATATCAATGTCAAACTTTTTAGTGTGCAGTTTTTGGTTAGAGGTCAGATTTATTGGAAGTGACGTTAAGAAAAAGGCCGAGAAATAGTTTTATATTGAGATTTATTTTGTGACTACACAAATTGGAAAGGAGGAATAGACTTTGTATGTCGTTTATTTTATTTCAGGTGAGGTTCTTACGAAAGTGTAAATAAAATGTTTTCTTTGATAAGTAACTAACAAAATAAAACTTTCATTCCAGCTACACATTGGTTTATTTCAATCCTGACCCATAAGATATAGTCTTATATATATTTGTGAAAAATGATAACGTAACCGTGTACAATTTATGTTACGGTTAGTAGAAACAGAGTACTGTTGCGATTTATCCGTACCACTTTGACACCCGTACCCCATACGGGTGTCATAGTGGTACAACAGCAAAGATATCGTCAACAAGTCTCCACCAAACTTTGAGACAGTTCTGGTGAGTCTCAACAAAAGATTCTTCAAAATGTTCCATACATATTGTCTTTCATCAATCGCTTCCTACCTTTAAATTTAAATAAAGGAAAGTGTTAGTGATATATCATCGAAACTTTTTATTCGTTCGAAAAACCTACTAATGTCATTATTATGTGAAATGTAACATGGTTCAAATGACCGACACGGCTTCTCTGGGTGAAGCGCATATGAAACGTTCACGCACGAACTTTGTGGCCAGTTCACATCACCTCCACGAAGTTGGTATTTATCGACCTATAGTGCTCGCCAGCTCTGCTGACGAAATCAACAAGCCAAGCGTACGTCACTAAATACTTGCAGCAAGAGGCAGATATATTAGAGGAATGGGCCTACCTGTGGAAGATCAGTATAAACCCTCACAAGAGTCAGGCAATACTGTTCACCCGGAGGATAGTACACCCGGAAGGAAACGTCACCTTCAACGGACAAGAGATTTCGTGGACCAACGGAGCTAGATACCTGGGAGTCAACCTAGACAAAAGATTAACGTTCAGGTCTCACGTACGGCAGAGAATAGAAATGGCGAGATATGCCCGACAAACATATTACCAACAATAAATCGAAGAGGCAATATGGGATTGAAAGTGAAGCTGCTGATGATAAAGACCGTAATTTTACCAATAGTCCAATTTACCAATTTTACCAATAGTTACAAAATTTCAAAGCATATCTGTCCAACCAACCAGACAAACTAGAAATGAAGAATTAGCAGTAGATATATACTTTTAAAAGAGAACGTTTCTATTTTTCGGTCCAAAATTTTACACCGCAATACCGGTAAATTTAAAGAAAATTGACAAACTAAGGAATTTCAAAACTTAAACAAAGAACTATCCTGAAAAACACACGTGGGTTGGGGTACCTATCGGGCGCGTCAGCAGGTGGCGGGTAGGGGAACGGCCGGGGGACTGGAAGCCCAGTCCGGGAAGCCAATGTGGCCTTACGGACGGGGTCGCCGAACTCCTGGTCAGTGGCAGAAATAAGTAGGATGAGAGGAACTTAAACTCCCCAAAAGCCTTTGCAAAACATGCCACCTTGGACCAGCCTACCCAAGCTAAGGTGTAAGGAATCGTGCCGACAGATGAATGGCCGCAGGGTGATATGCAGTTACGAACTATCCCCTTGGGGAACTGGGCAAAACCTCACTGTAATCAGCCTAACTCTTGTAATGCGGGGGCTCTACCAGGGGCGACCAACTCTTCCCTTGCTACTCGTAGGAACACACATGATTGAAACAAACACAAAAGCAGAAACAACAATAACAAAAACCAATCCCGGACAAAAGTGCTCACCTCAATCTAAGGTGGTGGCTGGGGATGAACAGAAATGTCCACCCCAATCTACCGCTTGGAATGGGGCTGGACGTAGCAGATCACTTCGTCATGTAATACAAAGGCCAAGGCGTAGCGCATTTGCAGCGCCGAGGCCAAAAGAAGAAAGAGAGAAAAGGGGGCAGGAGTGGCAGCAACTAAAAGGGCACCCTCCTCCACCCCCACTCCATCCCCAACAGCAAGGGCACTTCCTGCGGCAGGCGCCAAGAGCTCCGCCTTAAAATAAGGCAAGGAACCGCCTTAAAATAAGACAAGCACAGATAAAATACACATGTGTTTGAAGTCATCCTTTACACTAGAGTGTAAAGTGTAAATTTTTGCCCGCCAAAATGTTTAGCATAGTTTATGTATAGTACTAATAGTTTTTAGAGTATCCCTGGATACAACACACACAGGCATTTATGCCTAGATATATTGTACTCAAAAAGAAAATCTAACCCCATTTTTTTAAAATTTAATAATTTTGTACATGCAATATTTGAAATAAGGAACTATCTAATGGTAAAAAATGTTTATACGCATAGTTTTCATCTTCCCTTGCGTAAAAAATTTGTAATTTTCAACAGAGCTCCAACGTCCCAGCCGAATTCTTGGAACAACATTCAAATCAGAAATCACAACCTGTATTCACCTTCTTCTCATTTAACAATATATGTGTTGTGAAGTGACGTACTACACAGGTAATGTAAAACCCCTCTTAATATCAAGAGAAAGGTCAACCTCAGACCGCTCGTTGATATCAGGGTTAATCCCAACCTCGATACTTAACTGCTGCACGTTGCCACATTGCAATGGTTTTACGTTTTTCTGCAGATATCGGAATGGGAGCTGAAAAAATGTGGAATCACTAGTGAAAGTGTGAAACCTGTGTCATGACCCATTTAAGAGAGTATTATTTTATCTCTCCCCCTCCAGAAAATTTGGCTAGATCCTTATGTTGAACAGATTTTATTTAAAAATGAATCGTATTGAAGATAAATTTCTTCTGAATAGTTTGTACCGTTTGGGAACTATCAGGATTTGGCTTGCCGAAAAATTGTGAATTTTGTTGAATAGTTCAATATTGTTTTTTAATCATTCATCAGTTATACTCAATTCCAGAAAGGGTAGATTTATTGAACCTGATTTTGAATGTATTGAATGTGAAAATCGGGTTGCGGACATTCTGACGAAAATCTTTCTGTCAAAATTCTTCGCGAATTGATGGTTCAAAATAATCCGGTATCTAATGAAACTGTATAGGAAGCATTATTGGGGCAAACTGCAATGTGAAAAATATCACCTCGTTTGGAAAGAATGGAATACTATTTTAATTTCTATCACAGAGTATCTGATGGAAGAGTCACTCATCTGGTTGCTATTTGAAGTTGAGAGGTTTTGTACAAATATTTTGTGTTGAAAGGTTCATTATCAGTTATAGTAGTAAATTCGAATTATTTTATTCTCATACTCACCTTAATTCGCGGTCACCCAATAATGTCAAAAAAAGCATAGTTCCTGTTTTTTTTTTGTAAGGTTTGCTGTGCATCTACTCAGTTTTCTATGTAGAGGCTTTCTTAATCCATAAAACACAAATGCCTATTAGTCTGAGAAATAGTGATCGGAAAAATACGTATGGCTCATTCGATCCGGAATGGATACGAATGGCTCATTCGATCCGGAATGGATACGAATGGCTCATTCGATCCGGAATGATATATAGAAAAATGTGCTGAAACCGTTTTTCAGTACATAAAAAATTGCAGAAGTTATAAACAAATCAAGATGTAAAGAAAGGTATTCATGTTTCGGGAGTCAGTATATGTACTTGTGATACAGTAGTTGGAACCTTTGGTACACAAAGTTTCATTACTACATTACTCCCTTTGAGAAGAAAAGTATATCTTGATGTTTCACGAAGTTATGCTTTTGTAAATCAATAAATTATTATCGTATCTGTGCTCTAATAAATAGTTGAATAAGATGTTGAACAGTTCAAATAATGGACCTAAGAAACATTTCGGCCCGTGGAGCTCTTCTTATATGCATACATTATAAGTTGAAAGTTTATAAAGGTTTTTAATTTCGTTTATCATAATTTTTTGCTGCCTCGGATTCTCCTGCACACTCTCACAGACAGCAGCGATGTCTTCGAGAGATCTTGCGTTTCGCCAACGTTTAGGACCCTGTTGGAAGACCATTTATATAAAGCCAAGCATCTTCATGCGTTCAAGCACAGTTTTTTAGATAAGCAATATGTTCGTTCTGAAGAATCAATGTATCGGGCTAACTTTTAATTATTATAAAACATTTTAAATTGTCTATAAATAGCAAAACTTCTCTTTCATAACGCAGCGCATTGAATCGCTTATGGAAAAGTTAAACAACGGTGGTTCCAAATGTGATCTTTGTGGAACACCCGATGTTACTACGATAGTATGAGAATAGTAATGACCTGATCCTGACAATTTGCATTATGTCCGAATAGCAGGTCTTGAGACACTGCAATTTTTATATTTGCTTACAGGATTCCTGAATTCCTAAACCAAAATCACTTTAGAGTTTGTAGATTCTATCAATACTGTATTCACTACAACTTTTATAACTGAGTTTCTCGTGAACGGTAATAACGTGATTATATACAAAATCTTTTTGAAATCCCTCAAAATTCAAGAATCAATTTGAATACAGAGACACACTCACTTTGTGACTATTGAAATTAATAAGTGTATGTCTCTTGATGCGAATTCTCAATAATACGGAAGTAATTTTCTAAGTAACCTAGTCTAGTTTAGTGACTTGCATCTTTTTGAATATATTCACTGTATTCTACTACCGTAATCCTATATGATTCACCTGCCAACCAATCAAGAAACCAAATAATTCCATCTGGCAACGCCGTACTATCGCGCAAAACCACAAGACAATCAAACAAGTCCGATCCGATCGGACGCGAATCAGTCGTAGAGAAGCGGCGTGGAGTGCTGTACACGAGACTTAAAACAAGCGACCGCCTGTTGTTTCCGTTCAGTTTCACGGCACACGTGATAGATTCATCCAATCGCAGCTCCCGAACTCAGATTTCTAAGAATTGTTTTCGCTCACCGTTTCTTAAAATAAACTCGAGTTTGGTTCGTTTTGCTCGGCTCTTGGTTCGCGCTGAAGCTGTCTTGTCTTTGTTGAGTGCGAATTTGGGATTAATATACGGATATCACTTGAGTATTAGTGAAAGTGCCCTATTTTTATAACTCTGTTCGTTTGTTTACTGACTCGTTACATCCTCAGTGAATTGTGATCCTAGTTATGATGATGGTTGGTCGACCTTGAAGTTTGTTGGGATTTGTAATGTTATGTTCTAAGGTATGGTATAGTTTGTGGAGAAATAAACTTGGCAGTTTTCTAGGCTATTGTGATTCAACGGGTTTTTAGCGGGAATTGAAAATTTCTAAATCGAAAGTGCATTGCATTATTCGCGAGAATTTTGCAACACGAAACTGCTCTCATCGAACAGCAAGAAGACAAAGAGATTGTTTGTGTATGGATACAGAGTGTTACATAAAAAGTTCTTGGAAGTTCTATGGCGAATTCTTCTAGTGAAATTTATGTTTTAATTTTTGATAGAAGGGGAAATATACGACTTAGTTCAGTAAGTTATCAATGATTGGTGATGTTTATTTTCGATATCGAAAATGATACCGGTTTCCGTGGTCTTATCTAGTAACGTCACGGAAGTGGATTATCGCGGATGGCACATTTGTAACGCCTATAATGATCCAACCACTTGCAGAAGGGATGGATTCAAACACATCTTGATAATTTCGTTTTATCTGCCTCGCACTAGTTTTTGAAAAAGTTTCGCTTGGATATATGTATTTTTGTCCACTGATCATAAATGTGAAGTCAAAACTTGGCGCTCAGCTTTATTTTCGGAGATACAGCGACTCAAAAGTGGGAATATTTCAGAAATTCACTTTCGGTAATAAAGACTCATAAAATGACATTTTTCAATCTGTTGAAAAATCCTGAAATTTAACTGTCTTTATAGACACACTTGCGAATTCCTTTCAAGAATTTTCGGGTGTGAGAAAGCTTTCTTCTTCAATATTCATGGAGTTATTTAGTCATTCATGCCTAAAGCTTGCGTTACATTCAGATAGGGTCAACATTCTCTGAAAGAAGGTTAGCTATTTGTAACGGCAAAGAAGTCAATGTCAAACGCTGGTAAGGGTGGCAGATCTGTAGCAATATGCAACTCTTGAAGGGAGTGCATATGAAACCCAATTGACGATATTCACGTAGTGTTGCACGAGTTCCAATATTGGCACCACTGATATTTGAAGTGTAATTACTGAAATGGTAATGGAAAAAAATTCACCACGTTTCATAAAATTGTTTGATGTTTTGGTAATACAACATCTTTGATATTGCTTATCGTATCAATAAGACTTTAAAATGCATTGCTAGTTGTCATTGTGCGTATTGCAGTAACAACACAAAGAATATTGAATGAACGTTTCGGAGATTTCCGTTATTCCAGAAAGAACAATTTCAACTTCACGTGCACCAGAAATAGTCGCGGTATGCCGAAAATTCTAAATAAATTCATTAAACGCCGGTTTAATTTTAAAGATATTCGATTATCAACACAGTAACTACACGTCCTTTTCTTTATTTGTGTTAACTGTCAATGTTGCCAATCATGAAACTGACTGAAACATATACAACCGTTTTTACTTAAATATGGTCAAAAAGTGCGAATAAAATGATCATTGGTCGTCTTTTTTTTGATGACCTTTTCCATACTGGCGAATTTTATGAATATCCGAGTAAAAATAATTCCAACGTAAATTTTTAAGGTGCGTTCAGAGTGTATCAACTGTCGCGCGCTGCATTTCAATTGGCCGATAAGAAAACTGAACCAGTCGGTGGCATTTTCAAATCATTCGAATCAATTCGACCAAGTTAGCCAGTTGGATGATATCGTTTTTTCAGGTAATCATTTAAATTCACACGAAAGAAAAGAGTGAGTTAGTTTCATTTACTTCTCAATAAACGAAGATAATTTGGATAACATATCACTGTCAACATCAAAAAAATACCATGTGAGAGTGGCATCAACATCTGTCAAATTTCAGTGTTGATTGAAATGAATTACAGCATGAAACCACAACAATAAAGTACACGAAATTTCACGGAACACAAACCAAACAAAAAAAAAATAGAACTTCAACATGAAATTGTTCAGCATACTAGAAAAATATTTCAAATTTGTAAACTGCACTGTTCCAGTGCAGTTTAATGTGAATTTACAAAGGAAATTTTCGTTGGTTCTGTTGGCAGCGTTACAAAATTAAACTAGGAATAAATGCAATGTCAATTCTATATGGTTATCAGAAAGATAAGGAATGTCACCTTCATTATTGACGATCAGAAAGAGCCTTCCTTAAATGTTTCCATGTCAATTGGGTTTATTTCTTGAACTACATCAGCACTCACGTTTTTTCTAAGGGAAATTTTGCAATGATATCCAGAAATCTCAAGATCATAATCGAAACTTATTCCATTAGTTCGGACTTCCATTGTCTAATATTATATAAAATTATTTGAAGTCTCTGAAACAACCAATATTAAAAATAGCTGAAAATAACAATTATATTAAGCAAAAAACCCTGAAAGTGAAATAAAATACAAGTAAAAAATAGAATAATCGCTTGTCCAACGGACTCGTGATTACTGTTTGCTCTGTTGGTATTGATGAATAAAAAATGGAAATTTACGTACGTTCTTCTAAGGCAGAACTAAATGAAATTTCCATTTTCATTCCTTGGTTTTGACCTTTCGAGGTAATATTGCCAAGAAATTATAACAAAAACTGTGGTAAAGCAACGACAATATAGAGAACATGATAGCTAACTGAGACTCTTTTAAAATTATCCTTCATGGAATATTTCTGATAAATTTATGAATCGTTTATGGTTTGGTTTCATCAATATTTATCTTTGAGATAAAGAATTTTTCTGTGCAATATCATGGAAACTCAAATGTCTATCAAAACAAAATTATACTGCAGTTAATCTTATCACTCGTCATCACATACCTTCAGCTCAAAGATTTTGAGATCATATCCTTATAAAACTTGGGGATAGCTGGACCCTCTTGGTGGGTTGGTTAAAGTAGTCTGTCAGTTTTGAAGAAGTGGTTTTAAATTTTTTTTCGAACTCTTTGTATTTTTTGTTCATATGAGTGATATATATTTTTCTCATTATAATAGATCCTTTCTACAATCCAACAAACTCATTGAGAAATAATGCTTTTACGCTGTACAATTTAGATGAATTTAAGTTTGCTCTGATGTCATTTCATAAATGACAGGAAAATTACAACGCTTAAAAGAAAATGTGTCCAAAAATGTAATAGGAAGATAGTTGTAGAAAATTGCATTTGCTACAAGTAATGATCCATAAAATTTTTAATAGGGTTGCTAGTTAACGAGATGCAGCTCTAAAACCCATCGCAACCATTTTTCCAAGATGGCGGCCGGAGGACAAGGGTTGCGACCCCACAAACTTGTATATAAGCTAATACTAACCCCCTACACATAAAAAAATAAATAAAATTGCGTCCTCTAGAAAATGCACGCTAAGGCCTAAAAACTGTAACATTTCAAAGGACTATTTCTGCTGTCACTGGTTGAATTTCAATGTATAAATAAATAGGAAAATTCTTCGACGAAGGTATATTGATAATGAAGACTTGTATTTCACAAGTATGAATGCACACAATAATAGCCTAGAAAACTGCCAAAATAAATGACAGGCAGTGTCTAATACTCCCAGTTTCATAAGTATTGAACTGTGTTGAAATCAAGTATACTGAAGAAACTTGGAAACTTAGACACTACCTATTCGAAGTCATGTCATATCATCACTAAAATATGGTCGTTTTTTTTTTTCGTAAAAGGAGCCGTAGACGAAACAGCATCTAGAAATTACTAAAGAGTCATGGATTATCAGAACTTAGGTGTGTAACTTTATGTGTTTTGTTTTGCACTTTTGTTTGGAAGCATGCCTCTTTTGTTTTGGTTTCGAGTAGTGTCGCTGTAGACTAATTTTGATGTTGATTGTTTCTGCATTAATATTCACCTGTTATGGAATTGTGCAATAATAAACGACTACCAAAATGATGTTGTTTTCATTCGCGTTAGTAACATTTGAATTAATATAGCTATTGTTTTTTGTAATTTTTGAAAAAAAAAATCAAAAAAGTTGAGACAATAAGTGAAACATCGCATTGCATGGAAAACAGATCTCTCGAAGTCTGTTCTTTGCTTTTCTGCAACCAAAACGATCCTTTTTTGGATCGGATTGTCACGTGTGATGAAAAATGACTCATCTACGACAACAGGAGATGTTAAGGACAATGGTTGGACTCCGATAAGCAACCAGATACTTTCCAAAGGCGAAACGTTATCAGGAAGTGCATTCTACATAAACGCAGTTCTCCAAATGAAAGGATTCTTAAACAGTGAATTTCGAGGTGTACTGAATAGATCCTCAAAACGATGAGCAGCCACAGTCCGTCGCGTATTACTGATATGTACCGTTTTTGGTGGAATCAAATGTGCCACTTGAACTCCCGTAAAAGTATCTATAGAAGAGAGACAATCTCCAACCTTTCTTCGATGTTCAAGACCATCAAGGTTGCATTTGATGTTTGTCTCCAATTAGGAAGATGGCTCTTATATGGATGGAACAGTAACTCCAGTACTCCAAAAAAGGTCTGATTTGTACAGTTTTCTGGTTCGGAACAGCGTTCCAAGTTTTCGAGAAGCAGCTTCTATAATTCCAGCGACTTGATTGTGCTAAGACATATTGGTGTCAATTTTAACCCCCCACAAACTTATCGAAGCATTATTATATTCGGTTCGGAGACATTTATCTTTTTGGGTGTTTTTGAGGCATTGAAATGCACCTGGTTACTTTCACCGCAACTCGAAATCACCTCTAGATTTTCATTAAGATATGCCGCAACCGCAGTCGATGTCCTAGAGTCCTAATGGAATGACGAAACAAGTGTGGTCAGAGTCCGGTGTGGTTAACCTGCAAACGGGCCAAATCATCACAGTAGAGTCCTATTGTAAGGAAATAGACGAAATGTAGAGAAAATTGCATCAGCAGTGGTCAACAGAAGAGGTCAGATCCTGCTCCATGACAACTCGCGTCCGCATGTTTCACAAATCACCATCGGAAAATTAAACGAATTGAACGTCGAAGATCTGCCTCGCCCACTATACTTCCCAGACCTCTTGCCAAGCGAATACTTCAAGCATTTCGATAACTGTCTCGCCGATGAAACTTTCGCCAATCAAAACCAGCCAAAAATGGACTTCGTCGACTTAACGAATGCCGAGCGAAAAATTATAATGCCGACTCGTGAAAACGGAATAAACTTTTGAAACAAGCTCAACAGTAAAACTTTAAACAGAAAAATCAACAGGTAAAAACAAAAAAGAAAGATATACTTAGATTATAAATGTTTTGGAGACGTGGTGAAATATATAGAAGGGTATTGTAAAAAAATTGCATAACAAACCAGAAAAGTCAACAATAAAAAATGAAGAAAATTATAGATAGAAAACGTGAAAAATTATCAAGCAGACGACTTAACAACAAAAAATCTTCCAATTTTGTGGACCGACCAATCTGGAATAGTGTTAGTAGATCCACTATATCCAATACACAGTGCATTTCTTTAATGTCCGCCCCCTTTTATTTTTTGAACTGGTCAACTCAAAAAATTGAAATTTGGGAATGCCTGAATACTTTATTTTGAAGTGAAATTGACGGATAAAACTTTCAAGATGGCGACTGGACGCCATCTGGGACATTGGTAGTTGTCTTTTGAAACAATAATTTCATGGCCAGCCATGGAAATTTTCACATGAAACGATAGTTTTCAACGTTTTCAGTAATACTTTACAGTCCTCGGTTCTGTCGCGGAAAAAAACATTCCCTGTAACTCCTTGAATCATTTTGATTGAAAAAGTCATATCTTTTGAAAAATTTGTGCTGCTGGGGTTATTTTCACATAAAACGAAAGTATTCGGCGTATTCTATGATACCTACAAACTTCTCGATTTTGTCGCGGTCGTGGTCGCGATTTTGTTTTATGTGAAAATAAACGTAGAAAACTATCGTTTCATGTGAACATTTCCATGGCTGGCCATGCAATTATTGTTATAAAAGAAAACTTTTCATGGCTAGCAATGAATTTTAACGACCAATGGTGGCTTGGCGCACTCCTTTCCGTTAATGGTAAATTCCTCCAATTCGTAGCTGAAACCCATGGTTCCTTCACACTGATGTATCCAAATAGTATCTTACTTGCCTGGAGTAATGTGGTGGTGCTCCATCTTGTTGGAATACAATATCCATATCGACGATTTCGGTGATGAGAGGGTCAACAGTAGTTGACCCTCTGATTGATAAATAGTGGTCCTACAATATGATTTCTCAATATTCCTGCCCAAACGTTAATTTTTTTCTGGATATTCTGGAAAACATGAGGCTTGGTGTCACTCCAATAACGACAATTTTGTCTGTGAACATTGCCGTTTGAAAAAATGTATATTCGTCACTAAAAAAAATATTGTGGAGATAGGTAGGATGCCTTGCAATGGTTTCCGTCATGATTTCGCAGAATTCTGTTCTTCGATCAGGGTCATCTTCAGTTAATTGGTATACCATTTTAATGTTGTATGGATGATACACCTATTCCTCTTCAAAAGTCTCCACACAGTAGAAGGAGACACCTCACAAACATTCGCGACGGAATTAATCGACTGTTCAGGATTTACTACCATCTCACCAATTATTTGCACTTGCTTTTCATCCGGAATGGACGGATGACCTGGGGGCTCTTTGTTATGTACACTACCGGTAGTTGTGAATTTGGATACAAGTTTCCTCAAATATTTTGTACAGATAGGACGATTCGGAAAACGTTCATTGAAAATCCGTTCGGTCTCGTGAAAGTTACGCGTCGCACCGTAAGTAAAAATCGCTTCAATTTTTTCTTCCGATGGACAAGAATTGACCATTTTAGAGATTGTTGACGTGGTATCTTTCTACTAGCGAAACCGAAATCTAAATGAGAATATTCTAACTGAACAATGATGTTCATTGTTGTACTGACATTTTTTGTCGTTTTTATAAACAAAAAATAACTTAACAAACCTTATCGGGTTGTTGCAATTGCCATATGTCAGATAAAAAGGAATATTTCTAGAAATATCGTTATCAATGTGTTTGTCTTCAGGAAATTAAATGTAACGCCATTTTGTAGTAGCTGAAGATATTGACATTATATTCTAGGGTTGTGAAGTATTTGTCAGGAGCTTCAAAATGATGTGTCACAAGACCCCCCTCTCCGTTCAATTTTTTTCCCAGATGGCGCCCAGTCGTCATCTGGAAAGTTTCATCTGTCAATTTCACTTCAAATTAAAGTATTCATGCATTGATTTTATTATCCAAAATTTCAATTTTTTGTGTTGACCTGTTGAAAAAATAAAAGGGTGGGGGACATTAAAGAAATGCACTGTATACAGGGTGTTCCTTAAACACATGCTAATATTCAAGGAGGTAATTCTTAGACCCATTTTAAGGAAAAAACGTCCTATGGACGTATGTCCTAAACGCCTTAACTTTTGAGATACAGGGTGGCAAAGTTTTCAAAAATAATCAGTTTTTTAATAATAACTGAGACAATTTTGTGGACATCTTTGGCATATTTGGTACATATATTCCATGCCTCAAGGCGCATTTTCTGATGTACAATTTTCTTAATTTTCTCTGCCAGTGGCGTACGTACGAGTTTTGAAATGTATATTTTTGGCGAAAAAAATACTACGCCACTGCTTTATCTTGAATTAAAAATTATTT